TCCAATCTCATCTCAGCACTCCACGCAGCCCTTTCACCTGCTCGATGCAGCACGCCTATGGTGATGTTGAATGTGGCTGTGACAGACGAAGGATTACCAGCAGAAGGCCTTTAGCATGACACAGGTTAAGGCACACAGGATCTTCTGCAACAGTTCCCTCAGCCTCTGTCACTTCATCCATGGACCAAAGAAGTTCTTGAGCCTCTCTGCTGGCCAGCCAAGGCTTGGCGATGGAAACTCAGGGAAGTTGCCTTGCCTCTCACAAAGATGCCTTGGGAATCCTCGTGAGCTGTAGCTCACAGGTGCTGCAAGAGCTGCCAGTGCCTGGGAGCACTCTTCAGCAGGGTCTGCAGCATCCTCTGCCCTGCAGTCACCCAACCGCAAACCCCTCAGTGCAGCAGGGTCTGCCTTCCCCATCCATCCCCTGTGCTGCACGGAGCTGCCAAGGGCATGCCACAGCACTGAACTCCAACAGAGGAATGCTGGTGTGCCTCACAGTGAAGACCAGGAGAGGCAGACACAACGGTGGTGGAAAATCACGGAACTACGTAACAGAGGACACACAACTCAAGCCAGTTTCCGTGTAATTTCTCCACGTTTCTTCTTCACAGTGCTGAGCCAGACCTTCAGAAACAGGAAAACATCACAAGTCTCAGCTCGTTTGCTTCATTCCATAATCACGCTGGACTTCCTCTGCATTTCTTCAAGCAGGCTGCTGCTCTGGGTACTTACTCTGCGAGAACCATTCTCACAAGCTCTTATCCGAGCAACCAGAAACTTTCAGCAATAAACCAAGTCGTTCACATACTCTGTTTTCTTCTGTCGTATTTGCAAGCAGGATAGCAATACCTCAAGCAAATCAAATCAGACCCCATCAGAGCCCTCTGAAACCTGCCTTGGGGTTAGTTTCACACTACAACACACATACAGTACTTCTCTACCTGATGTAGCTACACATAGTATTGCTCAGAGCTCACTTACATCCCACTTGTGACAACTGCAACAAACTCAGGGCACAGACAGGACCTCCTGGGAGCACTGCTTGCAATAATCTGAATGTGTGCAGAACATCAGAACCTGGTGCTTCTCTCTCTCAAGATAAAAGTAATGTAAACTAGAAGGTCTTGCTCTCCCAGCAAGACACCAGAGCAGAGATTGGACAGTCCAGGTCTGCCAGACCATCTGGGCGCAAAAGCAGAACTTGAGAGTCCTAGTCATGGGCAAGGGCCCACTGTGCCAGCAGGGGTAAAAACAGCATTTTAACTGTGTTCTTTTACTTTAAAAAAATTTCTGAGAGCTCATACCAGTTAACTTAGTGTAGGCTTCCATGTCCTCCATTGCTGTAGAAATCTGGTACAGTTTTCCTCCAGAGCCTTCAATTTTAAAAAAATTGTCTGCTTTTTGAAAGGCTTCCATAATCCTAGTTTGAGACAAAATCAAGACTTAAGGATAGCATCACTTTGAAACACCTTACTGCTCAACAGTCAAAAAATAAATGCATTAGTATGTTATAAATAGAAGACAATAGATGAAACTGCATCTCAAGCACCCAGCAGACCCTGATGGCACTGCAGTATGTCCTATTTTCATGCTGCCGCTGCACATTTCAACAGTCTTTCCATTTACTGAAAACAGGTTCAGAGCAGACCTTCCTTCAATGAACGAGCAAGTCCACTTTGTTCTGCTTCAGACTATGAGCTTAACATTGCTTGGATGATTGCAGAACGCTGCAAGACAGTGACATGGCCACTCAGCTGCAACGAGGCTGCCCCACAGATGACCGTATCCTTTTACAGACTCATTACTCCAGGAGTTAACCAAGAAAACACAAAACACTGTAAAGGTAAGACATCATGAACATGTGGTATTTTCAGGTGGGAGAAACTGATGTTCTAAAGATCAAGTTCTTCCAGAGTTCCCAGTATCTCGTTGTCATTTCCAGCTTATACGTCTATCCTTCGGATAGGCTGCTATGATTACGTTAAGTCAAGGACTAAATTTCTTGGCTGTTTTACTCCTCACGTGTAGGTACTGTCAAACCTTAGCATTTTTAGTCCGAGTTTTAAAGGATCACTAAACCAGGAGCTGAAGTTTATGAAATGAAATCAGTGACAAATCACTCTTTACTGTATAATCCTCTGTGTTTCTTTTTTTCAAACTGAGTAGACGGTTACTTGGCAGCCAAGATACTAATGAAAAAATATTTGAGGATACTAGTACTTCTGCTTTTCAAGAAAAGTAAAAAGAATAATGCTATAGGGAAAAATTCTATAGACATTGAAAGAGAGGTACAAATGCAGGTAGCCAGCTGAGTGGGTCCTGAACAATTCAAAAAACATAAACACAAAGTCAGGCTTTAGTAATTTTCCTCTAATTTCACATGGAAGGATGTTTTTGTCCTTTTTCTTGTTAATCACAGCTTCTATGATACTTTAAGCACCGAGCCTTGCCACAAGAATTGGGTTATATAGCCCAATGGCTGTCATTCTAACTCACACCTTACAGATTATCTGAATATTCTGAACAGATATACAGTTTCAAGGATCTAAAAATAAATTGAATGCAAGAAAAGGAATCACAGAATCCCAGACTGGTTTGGGTGGGAAGGGACCTCACAGCCCATCCAGTCCCACCCCCTGCCATGGGCAGGGACACCCTCCACTAGCCCAGGTTGCCCAAAGCCCCATCCAACCTGGCCTTGAACACTGCCAGGGAGCCAGGGGCAGCCACAGCTTCTCTGGGCAACCTCTGCCAGGGACTCAGCACCCTCACGGGGAAGGATTTCTGCCTCACATCCCATCTCCATCTCCCCTCCTGCAGCTTCAGGCCATTCCCCTTGGCCTGTCACTCCATGCCCTTGTCACCAGTCCCTCCCCAGTTTTCAAAGTATAAGTATAATACTTGCATTATTTCAATGATGTTGCCAATCTTATGCTGGTATGCTCGCCGGTGCAGGCAATTCCGTGTGTGGAACATGTCATACAAATTTCCAACTTCCTGAATAAAAAAAAAATAAATCACCTTTTACTTTTGACATTGTCTTAATTGGAAAACTAAAACAATCGAGGAATCAAGTGAGTTATCTCCTTCCACTTGCAGCATAGAACAGAATCGTTATTTTCCACAATTTACAAGTTTTGAAACATACTCAGGCTACCGTGGGAGAACAGAGACCTGACAGCGATGCCAGGCAGCCAGGGCAGAGAAGACAACCTCTTGCTCCCTTAGCAGCCCCTCGCCAAAGCCACATTCACTTTTTAGAGGACTTGGAGCAGGACCATGCGCAGCGGACGCTGATCCCTGGAGGGATCCTCCACAAACCCTTCCCAACAGAGCCTTGCTCTGTCCTTCCCTGCCTTCAACCAGTTGCTTCTGAGAACAGCTTTCAAAGCAACAACTACTTCTTCCTCTCTTGGGCTAAAACAAGTGTCCGGCAGGGAACCCCACCATCCCCCTGCAATCCAGAGCGCGGCTGTACCACACTGCCCGAGGCAGGCTTTGCCATGCCCTGCATGTTCTCAGGGTGCTGCTATACCTCACACGCGTTTCGCTGCTGAGCGTTCCCTTGGTTCACACACGCCGCTTACCTTGTCACGAGTACAGATATGCTTCTGGTTATTTACTTCACAGACCCGAGTGAATTTAAGTAATCGCTTATAATCAAAATTATTCTGGATTCCTAGGTGATGGCAATCCCTAAAAATATTCCACAGAGACTGTTTAACAATTATATCATACTTGTACATAGAGTAGCACTGTTTCGGTAGGAATTCATAATAAAAACAAAACTGTAAGATTTGTACCTTGCAAAATAATCCCATTTGTCAACGTCAATGCCATTTTTTTTGTTAGCTACTATCTCATATAGGAAACTTTTCTCCTTTGGTCGACCACGGTAGGGCCACTAAGAACAGGGGAGCCGAGAAGACAAAAAAAAAATCAGAAACAATAAGAAATTAAAGCATGCAAACAATGTCAGAACAATTTTTTAAAGATCGTGCGAATACACTTCGATTTTGCCTGCAATAAGCATCCAACACTGAGGCAAAGAACACAAAGACAATAAGAGTTTTCAGAAGCTGTTGGGCATCAGAAATCCAGAACTAGGGCTTAAGCAGCTGACTTCCCAGAGTATCAGGAAGAATAAAAACCATTCTTTCCCATTATATTAAAGCAAAGCCTGCAGCCTTGAAATGCCAAAAAAAAAAGAAAAAAACAACGCACAAACCACCCCATTGATGACATCAGGACCAGAAGGCCTGCGACGCGATAGCATTGAGGCACAGAAGCCTCATCAGGAGAGGCGCCTGTACTCTGGTAAGACCACCACAGTACAAATGACTGTCAGCGGGAGATCCTGCAGGCTAGCACCAGGAGGGTGGCAAGCTTGCCATGTATCATGTGTGACATTCCTTTTCCTGGTATCCTGCTGGAAAACAGGCAAAGAATCCAAACAAGGAAACACAGACATCAGGCAAGAAACTGGCACAAGATCAACGGAAACAAGATTGGTGTGCAAATGAGTGTGAGCGGGTAAAAATCAACTTGCAGACTTTGTAAATTAATATCCCCTTCCCAGAAGATCTCAGACTGAATTCTATTATGCTGAGTTCCCCATGTTTATTATCAGAGTGCTGGAGCGCACATGGCAGAACTACACACTCCTACAGCAGAAAATAATGGGTAAGTGCTAACATTTGTGGGTGATTTGTTTGGGACAACATACAAATTCTGATTAGGACCAGATTGTCATGACAGATCTCCCACTGACAGGTCCTTAATTCTGGTAGCAACTGAATGGGTGTCCTTGAAGAGATGACAAGAGCTGTAAAGTGTAAAGTGAGTAGAGAGGACTTAATTCTTTCCCAGAGTTGCAAGGATTAATAATCACCATCTCTTCTTCCTTGCCCCTTGAGGCAACACATTTCTTCAAGTCTTATCCCTGCCTTTATGTTTGTTACTGAAATAAATTCAAGCATTTTGCTACTGTCATCAAAGTTGATGTGGCTCTGGCACTCAGGCCATGCTTTGTATTGCTCATTGCCTCATCTCTGCCAGTTCTGAGTTTTGTCATCCATTATCAGCTTCTTACCCTAAACTATCTCCATGTTTTCTTCAAACAGCTACCTGAAAACACGACCTCCCATCACCACCGCCTTCAGACATCCAGTACACAGGCTATTATCCTCACCTGGTCATTTAAGGTTTCCACTAAAAATTCAGTTCTACCAATCTAGTTATAGTGAATTAGGTTCACTAAATACAAATAACGTTCTTAAGCTTTCCTCTAATCTGAAGGTAAGAGCTTCTCAGGGAGATGAAAGCATGTAACGCAGTGAAGCTATCGCCTCCTGCCAGCACTGTAAGAAAAAAACACTACGTTTCTCTAGCTTCTCACGACAGGATTTTCAGAATTTCATGGTGCTAAAAATAAGTAATAAAACATAGCAGAAGCAAAAATTATCTACTGTCAGTAAAATTAAAGACATTTATGGGGATAACCACAGGAGCAGTACACTGACTCACTGATTTCTCACAAGCAGTTTCATCTATAGGCCCTCCTATTTGTTCCTTGATGAAGTTCATATCTTCTTCCAAGACAAGACCATACGACTTCATGACTTCTTCCAGTTTATTGGAAGTGATCAGGTGCTCAAACATTTCAACAGAAGCAGTTTCATGCTGTGGGAAAGAAAAAAAAAAAAAAAAAAAGGTCTAAATGTTGTATTACAGTTTAAGCCTTTTTTCCTGCAGTCACAGCTTTCTCCTAACCCAGCAGCACTGCCTGGAGGGCACCAGCGCTGGTGGTGGGAAAGTGCAGCACTTGGGCGATTTTCTATTCAATTTGTGTCTAACCAAAGAGGAAATCACCCCCTCACAGAGTCCAGAAACACACTCTTTGGCAGACAGCTGTTAATTTTGTATTTTAACAAACAGCTGTAAGACAGTTACAATGCTAAAGACAAAATAACCATTTCTGCTGTGCCTAAGGTTAACAAGTTTACTCAGCTGATTTTGCTCAATACTGACAAGCCGCAGAGGCCTGAAGGACTGTGTTACATTTCATTCACAGCAAACCACCCTTGAAACTGTTCAATGTTTCTGAAAGTTTGAATTCTAAACATTGTATTAAATATCCTGGTCTTGAACTAAGCATCTTAAACTGGAAAGGAAGCTCCCAGGTGGTATTTTGCATCTGTTAAAATATACTCTGAAGAATGCTCGCAATACGCATTCCAAGGCACAACGCTGGCTTAAAATAACAGGTGCACTCCTAATGAATTCTGCCTCTTCAGAGTCACACTACAGGCACCGACAAGACCGAGACATCTCATTTCTCCTCTGCGTCACCCGGTGTGACATCTGCAGGAAGAGGACAGGTGTAAACAAACAGATCTCATAAGAGTACACAGGAGTTCAAGAGCATTTGCACTCTCAGGGAAGACATGCTGGTGACAAACATCTGCCCTCACTTCTCCCCACACCTCTTTCTGCTTTGCTAGTAAGGCTGCATCTGCTCTCGGCCACGCTGAGGGGGCTGACCTTCCCCGAACAAACAGTGAAAGAGAACAACAAGGAAATCATCACAAGATTAGAAGACAACATTCTGAGTTTTAATTATGCCATCAAAATGACACAATAAGAAAAGGCTAGATGATCACTATATTCTCACAAGCACTGGCAATCTTTAAAGATGAATTATTCTCCCTTTAAAAATTTCAGTTTTCTATTTTGACTTTAATAGCGAAAAGCCTACCTTCCACTTCAAATCCGGACGAACGTGTGGAATAAATCTTCCATCAAACATGTGCGAAAATGGCCCATGACCTTAAAAATAAAGATTACATGGGTTTAATTTGGCTGTCAGTAAAAGCATTTTCAGCAACCTAAGGATCTAGATTCTCTTGTATTTGACTTTATCTTGACATCATCTATGAGGAAGATTCAACTACAGCGAGTACATTTTCCTAAGACACCTTAAGTACTACTGCACTTAGCACTGCCAGTTCCATTACCTATACACCACAGGCAAGTACTGCAGTAACACTGAGAACGTTTATTACTCTGTCCCAGCTCTGAAGAAAGTAAGTAATTATAAAATAATCATAACAATTTTTGATAGGGTCACTAATTTGCTGAAATGTTTTAAGAGACCCGAGGACATCACAGAAGGAAGTGGACACTTCAGCCACTGAGGGCAGAACTCTAAACATCATATGAAAACACGACAAAAAACTAGCTAAGCATGGCTACAAGTTTGCCAAACGGAGTTGCCTCTGCAGCTGTACTCTGGACCAAACAGGAACAGATAAATCCTGTCTCAGAATGTGGCCACACACTGAGCAGCTCAAAACAGCTCTCATACTCAGATCTTGCAGCCAGCTTTCATCCAGGTTAGCTTTCAAAGTGCAACAAGCCATCTCAGCCTGAAGAAGAGAAGGCTGCGGGGAGACCTTAGAGCCCCTTCCAGTCCCTGCAGGGGCTCCAGGAAAGCTGGAGAGGCGCTGGTGACAAGGGCAGGGAGTGACAGGCCAAGGGGAATGGCCT